GCATGGTGTGAAGCCCTAGAAGATGACTGCAGACTTGTAAAGGCAGAATACCTTAGCCTAAATGTTAACCTGTCAAATCCTAGATTCAAACACAGACATATCCTCTGTAACTGTGCCATCCGATACAGTAGCCACTAACAGCTATTTACATTTATCAATCAGAAATTCAATTCTGGCCAGGCACAGTGGCTCACACCTGTAATCCCAGCACTCTGGGAGGCAGAGGTGGACAGACTGCTTGAGCCCAGGAGTTCGAAACCAGACTGGGCAACATGGCGAAGCCCCATCTCCACTAAAAATACAAACATTATCCAGATGTGGTGGCAGCTGCCTGTAATCCCAGCTACTAGGGAGACTGAGGTGACAAGACTGCTTGAACCTGGGAAGTAGAGGTTGCAGTGGGCCAAGATCGCACCACTGTACTCCAGCCTTGATGACAGAATAACATCCTGTTAAAAAAAAAAAAAAAGAAATTCAGTTCATCAGTCACACTTATTGTGCTCAATAGCCGTAAGTGGCTAGTGACCACCACGCTGGATAAACGCAGATTTATAAATCATGTCTATCCTCTCCAAAAGCTCTGTGGGCCAGTGCTGCTCTAAAATGCCTCTGTAATACTCAATCTGACAATTACAGCAATGAAATGCCACGAAGTACCTGTGCTCTGTTAGGGCACATAAAAGCATGTCCACTGGTAATGCAGTACTAATTCTTCCTTTTCAAGTAAGTTGAAAAGTAAAAACAAGCTTGCAGGTATCTCTCCCAGCATACATTAGTAACCAAGGAAATTCACACCATCCAATCCCCCAGTGAAGGATGAAATTCACAAACAAGTGAAAAACTGATATTTTGCCTCTTCCTTTCTATTTCTTTGTTAATGTGTTTTTTGCCTCTTCCTTTCTATTTCTTTGTTAATGTGTTACCAGTATTGTGTCTTTCCCTTGCAAGTTTTGTCTTGGGGGTGCTTTTAGCTGTGTTTTTAGCCTAGCAACTAGTAGAGAAAAGGAGGTGAGGACAGTTCAGAACGAAGATGAGTGATTCAGGAAAACACTGAGGCAGATAACGCAACTTAAAAGGAAGCAAATTTAACTGTGAACCAATGCAATAAACAAGTGCTCACTGTGTGCCCGTGATGTGCAGATAAACAAGTCACCATTCCCACCTCTGAAGAGCCCAATTTAGTAGGTGCGTCCAATACGTAACAAACACAATGAGATATGCTGTGATATAAAGCAATAAAACAAGCATATATACAATGCAGAGATGACGCAGGAAGGGTATTGAGGAGAAATCAAGGAACATTTCCTGAAGGAGCTATCCAAGAAGCAGAAGAGCAAACTAAGCAGAGCCGTCCACAGGAACCCTAAGTGGTTTGGCAATACAGGAGAAAAATGTGTTTGGTGGTAAGGAAGATGTGGGTGGACAATGGGAGGAGGGAGACAGGGCTAGAGAGCTATTTCCACACCAGACCACAGACACTCATGCGCTGGTCAGGTTTGCCTGAGTGGGTCTATCAGCTTTCCTCACCAAAACTGCAAGTAATATGAAAATCAATCCCTAAAACATGATGAGTAATATACCCATGCCTACCATACAGGTAACAATATTTGACAGCAATCTGTGGGAATATAAAGTTCTTTGTGACACTGTACCTCTTAATAAATACATATTGGTCACAAATACACTGTAGCTAGGATCGTTTGTTTTCAGGGTGAGACCTCTGTTTACTCTGAGTTTTGTCTGGAATCTCTGTACAGAAAATACCAATGAAATGGACTACTCCCATATCTAAATGTCCCACCAACAGTTTATCTGATCACGAGACAAATGAAACAAATTAAGGGGAGAAAGGAGATGTAACCACAGTTTCTGTACTCCAGTGTTTTTGTTTTTTTTTTTTTTTCTTTTCTCTCTCTCTCTAAAATTCTAATGGCAGAACTTCTGCTACTCTGTACTGTACTGCATTTCTGGGTACATCCAGCTGTGACCACACCACAACTGTATCGCATCCAGTAACCTAAACCACTCTTGTGGTTGCTCACGTAAATACTTGGAAAATATTTGCCTCTTTCGGGCTCTCGCCTTTACTTTGCACATATGTTCAAGTCTCAAAAACAGAACAAGAAACTTCCAGAGAACCTATTCACTTCAAATTACGGAGATCCTCTCTCTCACCGGTCCACAGTAAACTTCTGTAAAAGGTCGCCTACGGTCCTTAAAGAATCACCAAGTAACTTTCCTCCCTTATACAAGCAAAGCTTTTCGGACAAAAATCTTAACAGTAGAAACATAACCAACATAAGCAAGCTGGCCCTTAGGCAAACATAACTACTATTATTCACACAAACACGGAGCCCTTAAGCAAAGGTACATTTTCCAGGAGACAAATGACTGTTGAAAGTAGCGGTTCTAAACTCGACCTCTCTAGGTCCTGAATCAGGGCAGTCCTCCTTGATCAACTCTCACTTAAAACTCCGAGCTTCCACTCCCCTAACTGTAAAATAGAGCTAACAGTACTTCTACGAGTAGAATCATGTTTGGGTAGCCACAGTATCTGACACATGGAGACCCCGCTGAGTGACAGATCAATACATGTTAGCTATTTTTCCTGTTTTGTCCCTAAATAGGTATGCTTTCACAACTAGCTATCACATCAAACTGGTTACTTCTATAAATTCTCACTCTGCACCAAAATCACTTAGGGGGAGGAGGGGGTTAAAAATACACCGTCCAGGCCCTATAGGATGTAGGTTCAATTGATCTGGGATTGGGCTGCGTGTCAGAATTCTTTTTAAAGCTCTCCAATTGCTGTAACGCGCAGCCAGCCTTCAGAAGTACTCGGAAGTGCCTATACGTCCCCCGGGATGCACACACCACCTGTAAGGTCCGAGTTCTGAGTCGAGCAGCGAAGGCCGGCCCTCCCGCCTGGACAAGGCTCCCCAAGGCGCGACTAGGAACCCATTACTGCTCGCGGAGGAGCGCCAAGAGCACTAACCAGCCCGGGGCGACCCGCGCGCCCGGGCTCCGTCGGGGGCCACACGCCCCCTTGCGCCCTCTTCGCGGCCCCCGCGGGCGCCAGTCCCTTCGGCCCGCGTCACCGCGCCCTAGCCTCCCGCGCCCCGGCCCCCTCCCGCCCACGGCACGTGACTCGACACGCGCCAGCTGCACGCGGGCTCCATCAAAACAAAAACAGAGGAGGCAGCCGGGCGGCGGCGGGAGCGCGCGGGGGCGGTGGCGAGCGGGCGCGCCCCCGCTGCCCCGCGCCGCGACCGCGCCTCCACCGCCCCGGGCGCCGCCGGCGGCGCGCCCCGGCAGGCCGGGGGCGGGAGGGCAGAGGGCGCCACCCTGTTTGCCGCCCCGGCCCGGCCCCGCCCCGCCCGCGCCCGCGCCCGCTCCCGGAAACGGTCTCCCGGGAGAGGGCTGGCGAGTGCGCACCTACCCGCGGCGGGGAATGCCGGCCCTGTGTGGGAGGCGCCCGGCTCCGGCGGCCCACCGCCCCCGGCTGCTGCGTGTCACCCCCGTCACGACTCTGCTACGCACTTCGCCCCCAGCTTTCAGCTCCGGCGCTTCCGCAGACCCCTCACGTGGCCGCCGCCTCCCTGCCACGGCGCTCCCCGGCGACTGGGGCTACGGCCCCGGGCGCTGGAGGGATCCCGAGCCTGTGCCCACCCCACCTCGGACGTCACCCTCCTGGGACCACCCAACCCACACCTTCCGCCTGGGGCGGGGCGGGGGAAGGACGGCTACGAGCTGTCAGGAGCTTCCAGCTTTCCCGTGACGAAGCTCACCCTCGCCCCGATCGTCGGCCACTCACCCAGCAGCCGGGCTGCAAGCTGGAGCACACGTTTACACCGAGGGCGGACTGGGGGGAACGTCTTGATTTTTCTCCCTAATTTACCACACAGGAAAAAAAAAAAAAAAAAAAAAAACCAAAAAACAGCAGACGCAGCTCTACCCCTGCGCTGGCATTAAAGCTTTTAAGCTCCCCACGTCATCCTACCCCATGCAACAGACTTACCGAATAGCAATGCCCACCCCACACACCTGCTAGGTAACCCGCCTTCTGCAAATCGGGGGCCCCACCCACTCCGCCTTCTGGAAACCTGCGCCTGGGGTGGGGTGGAAGCGACACTGTCTGGTATCCTAAAGTCAGAGGGAGTGAAGGGACCGGCTCCCCTCGCCCCACCCGGGCGCGCACCCTCCCGTCCCCGTCTCCAGAGTGCGCCAAGGCATCCTGCGTCCCTGCCGGAGAGAAGAGGGACGGGGCCAGAGGCCCGAGTTCCAGGGAGTTGCTGATTCCAGTGAAGAACCGAGACACCGCGTCCTTTCTAATTAATAAGCACGCCACCCCCCATCTCCAACACCCCCCCCCCGGCCTTATTTCTTGTTGACAGTAAAGGTGGGGGACTTGGGAGAAAGGCGAGAGTTGTCTCTAGGCTCGGGATGTTGGGCTGCGCGGAGGGAAGAGGTGGGATCTCGAAATGGAAACAGCCCCCCTCCCTCCCCCCTTCCCTCCCCTCCCCTCCTCCTCCTCCTCCTCTTCTTCTGTTTACCTCAAGTTTGAATTTTATCTGCGCAACATTAGCTGGAATGCGGACATTGAAAAAAAAAAAAAAAAAAACCACTCTCTCAGCCCGGCAGCAGCTCCGGAGGAGCCATGTGGCATCAAGCCACAGCAAAGGGGAAAAAGTGCTCGTAGCAACACAAACATGGCGAAATCGCTCCCACAAGCCGGCTTCCCGCGACAGCCCTACCTTCCCTCGCTCGCCTCCCGAACGTCCTGCCCGGGAACCGCAGACCCCTTCCGGGGGGGCGGCTTGGGAGCCCCGGGCCGAGCGAGGGTGGGCGCACTGGGCATGCGAAGGGGAAATTGACTAGCCGGCCGATCCGCCCCGCCGGGAGCGGAGGGGACGCCTTCTTCACGCCCAGAGACCGCAAAGGAGAGCAAAATTCCCATCCCAAAGTCCTGCGGGACCGGCTTCCCCACCCGGCGAACTTACCGGAGGGCTAAAGACACGCTGCTTAGCTCCTTGCCTGGTTCCTTCCTCCCGGGGGCGATGCGAGGGGAAAACGATGCGCACGTAGATTTGTAGAGCGTATTCTTCGAGAATTTCCCTGGGATGATCTGGAGGAGCGGTGGAGACTCCGCAGACAGGTGCCGCGCCGGCCGGGGCTGCCGGCTAAAAGTTGTTCTCTGCGCGGTGGGCGGTGGGCGGTGAGGTCCCCGGCCAGGGTCTAGGACCCCGGCTCCCTGCCCCCCCGGCATCGCCCACTTGTCACGCCAGGCTGTTGCGTGCGCTCGGCTGCAGGGGAGGTGGCGTAGTTTCTCTTCCTCCCACCTCTTCTCACTCACTTGTTTTTGTAGCCGTGGGCTCCCCTAATGCTTTCCTCTCCACAATGTTGTTTCATTATATCATGTCCATCATGTGACACCGGAGAGGCCTCTCTATGGAAACTTAAAGGGGCTCCCACGTGACTGCAGCAGCAACAACAGCAGCAGGACTGGCGGCGGCGGCGGCCGCAGCGGCGTCCGTACCTCCACCCACCGGGAGCCCCTCGCAGCATCCCGGAGGGGCTTCTGGCGCTGCAGGAGCACAGATCGCGGAGCCACAGCATCCGGGAGCCGTGGTGTCTGTGCGTGCGTGGAGCCTGTGCTCATGACATAGGAAGCCGAACAGAAGGAGCGTCCTCAAATCCTTTCCTACAGTCAGCAAACCCACGCTCTGTTAAAATGACATTTCGTGGCTCCTACTTTGTTTCCCCGGAGAGCAAGGAGTTTTTCTATCAGGCCTGATTCAGTTTGACAAAAGTCAAAAAAGAAAAACCAGATTTGTCCCTCTGCGAGTTCAGTCAGATCGCTGGGAGAACAGAAATGACAAAACAATAATAACAGAAATAGAACCAAGCATTTGATACATAATTACCATCACCACGGCTTTCAAGCTTTCTGGAATTACATTCCTCCAGTAACTGTTGACGATGCTTGCAGGAGGCAAAATGCAATGCAGTTTTTCTCTTCCGCAGCTATATTAGGGCTTTGTTGCTGACAACAGTGAAAACTTGTTTGTGTCAGGAAGTGAGGTACGGAGATATGACCTGGAAGGTACAGACAAAACCAAAGTGGCAGTTTTTGCATTACTTTTCTGACCACATTCTTTCAAATGGTGACAAGAAGGCGGTCGGCTGTAAAATTCTGGGGTGTCTGATGGGAAATAAAATAAGCAGAACAACATAATTATCCCTCGGCCATACCATACTTGCTAGGCGCTAGAAAGTATACCTGTATGTATCTGTGTATATGTAGAGAAAGCAAAAAGCGTGTGCACTTTAGTATTTTTGAACCACGAATTTTGTCATCATTTCTAGCATTAACAAACACTTGGGAAGACTGACTCAAGTCCAGGGATGTGTGGAAACTCACAATATTGAGTGCTGTGGGTATTACTGACTCACAGTCCCTTTAAGTTTCTACCATAAATCCCAAATTTCTGTCTTAAAGTTTTTACAGACATGGAGATTTTATTCTGTAAATCTAAGCCAGATCGCTGTTTCTGGATTTTTAGTTCATGCCTTTCCATTTTATAAGGGAAACTGGATTGGCAGAATCAAGAAAAACTTCGCAGGAAACTGAATAGTGGGATGGAAGGTGTTCTTCTCTTTTGGCCTGGCCCTGACTCTATCACTTTCCACCTCATCAGTTTACCTCATCAGCCATGATGAATGAGCTCAACTCCAACCCATTTAATTCTGTAATATTTCTCCCAAGTTGTACCTTCCTATCTCATGCTTAATTCTTTGATCCCTTTCCTCCTACAGCCCTTGCCTCCCAACTCAGCCCCTTTTCTGCCTGGAGGCTCAGCTCAGGCCTCCTCAAAGGCTGCACCCCCTCCTCAGCCTTCCTTCCCCTGCAACTACCCCCACCCTCACCCCCACCCCCTTCCCAGCTCGAGTCTCTCTTCCCCGCAACTCTACCTCTTTACCTCTCCTTGACCTCTAATCACCTTCACAGTCTGGCCCTTCACTTCTGGGCCTCTTCTTACCTCTCTTTATCTGAAATGTCCTGGCCCTCACTGGTGTCTCCTCCACACCCTTCTCTCTGGTCCCATCCCTTCTGCTGCCAAGCCCCGGCGTTCCTCCGGCTCGGCCTGGTCAGCTTGAGCCTCATTTTGATCGCGTGCCCCTGGGCTGGGAAAGGAGTGTGTGGTGCACAGTGGGGCCAAGGATCCCCCGGGGCCGTGGCCCCTGCCTCGCCCCCTCCGCCCCTCCCGAGTCCCGGTTGCGGTGCTTCCTGGGCGGATGGCTTGGAATTGCTGCAGCAGCTGCGGTTCTGCTGTGTCATGCAAGAAGGAGGCGGCGGCGGCGGCGGCGGCCGGAGCTGGAGGGGGAGGAGGGGAGGAACCTGATCCTCCGGTAACGAAGGGCTGGAGGCAAACACCGAGCTCCTCCTGAGCCGCCCGGGAGCAGGGAGGGCTCCGCTAGCCCGGGGGAGCCCTCCCCGCGGGGCAGATGGTAAGTGGGGCGGTGCAGGTGGTCGCCTTGGGAAGGGAGCGCGCAGCGGGGTAAGCTGGGGCGGCGGGAAGTACTGGAAGTCACCCCAGCCAAACTGAAGGAGCCCAATGTCCAGCTGAGAGGGACCCAGGCCGTAATAAGGATGTCCAGCCAAACGCCGCAATAATTACTATTCGAATGACGCCCCGAAGTTGACCCAAACTACACAGAGGGTGGAGTGGAGCATCCTGAACCGAGGGCAGAGCTGGAGGCAATGATTCAGGGTTTGAGACGCATCAGCCTATCGGCCTGGCGCTTTAAGGTGCAGCTGAGTAGGAAAAGACAACCCACATCGTATTCCCAGAGCCTTGCTGCGCTTTCTGGGTTGTCTTGTTTAAAACTAGTGAAAGGGATGGGAAACCTGCCCAACCTCACTTTAGCCACGAAAATAATGCTCTTGGCCAGTGGCCTTGGACAAACAGCCTCTGGTGCAATAAAACAATCAATAGGAAGAAGAACTTCATTTCCCTCACCACCCTCTTTCCCCAAGTCCTTTTGACCAGAGTATCTCCTTTGGCTGAAAGGAGAAAGAAAACTATCTGTGACATTCCCTCCCAGCCTACCTGCAGCCAGCCTCCTCGCCGCACAAACTGCCTACCCGGTTCCTCTCCCCATTGTCAGAGCCGTGATTCCAAGAGGCATTGCAATACTACTCACGTTGGGTGAGGAGACTGCCTGAAACTCTGAACAATTTCACCGCCCTTGCCCTTTGCCCACAGGGGATTCAGAAACCTACAACTAAGAGCAGGGAAATGTACGGGCAGGCTGGGCACATAGGAACATTCCTTCCTTCACCCGAGTGGAGTTCTCCAGACAACTTTTTAATTATGATTATTCCCTTCCATTGCACTCCTGGAAATTTCAAAGCACTTTGTAAAACATCATTTTTTTTTAATGTCAGTCATACATTTAGGAGTAAGGGGTTGATGGGATTAACTGAAAGGCTAATGACTGTCTCAAAAGCACATGCTGTTGCTAGGGAACCCAAGCTCCTGCTGCTCTCTAATCACCAGAGCCTTCCGTGGAAATCAAACTGCTCAGGGTGTTATTAAAATGAATGGCATCGGGTTAAAGGCGTTCTTGCTTATGTTGTAGCATCCTGGGTTATTATCGATTGCCTTACACCCACGTATCTTGTTTTCCTAATTTGATTTCTGTATTTGCGTCACCGCCAGGGACACTCAGACTAGACCAGTCAGTTCACTTCCTGTTTCTCAGAACTGGTTTATATTTGGTCTCATAGCTGTAGCTGGTAAAACATTATCAAACTGATCCTCTTGGAAAGAAATCTTTGCTTACTGTTGAAAACAAATTATCCCAATTAAATTATAATTCCCATGGAAAACGTCATCATTTGAGGAGTAGACTGCCACTTGCTATCTGAGAAACCATTCTTGAAATGTAAAGCCTAGAAAAAAAAAAAATCATCTCTATTTCTTTTACCCAGAATCTTCACTCCTCAGCACTAGAACTAAGACAAACTCGAGTAAAGAGTAGGTTTATGCATACTCCTAAAATGAAGCCAGGGTGGGGCAGGGGTAGGGAAGAAACACCGCATTGAAGCTGGGGAAATCATTTAGACTAAATAAGACATAGCATTGAATGGAATCCAGGCCCAGGAAGGACAAGTAAGCTTGGGTTAGCGTTGTGGCATTCAGAGAACAGAGTGTGATTACAAGCCTACACTACAAATAGGAAACTCCATCACTTTGTGTACTAATTGTCTCTTTTACCAATTCCCCTATGTCCCTGGACAAGACAACCTTGTTTTGCTTTGTTTGTTTTCAGTTCCTTCCTCTTTATAACAAGGATATTGCAAAGGCAATATCATAATGATAAGCACTATGTAAATAGGTGGATTCTGATGCAGATAATTTGTTTAGATGGAAAATAAAACCCTTTGAAAAAGATGTATAATAGCTCCAATAGATTGGATGACCTTGAGTGAGCCATTATAGGTCTTACGTCAGTTTCCTTGTGGAAGCTTAAATGAAAGTGCTGGACTAAAGGATCTCTAAAGGTCCTCCCATTTACAAACTTCTGTGATGAGATTGAACTCACTACATAAAAATTTCAATTTTAGCTGGGTTTTGCAATGTTAACTTTTAGCACCGAACCTTTAATGTCTATCCATAGAAACCCTGAGGGAAACGATGGGAGATGACTTTCTACTGATGTATCCATTTTTAGTGTCAGTTGCCAGAAAAATGAAACCTACCTTGCTCCCCAAGTACTTACTCTCTCCCTGCCTCAATGGTGTTGTGGAAGCAACAGGATAAGAGTTACAAAAGGATATAAAAGTGTAGAGAAAGTTCTTTCAGTCTACTTACTTATTTATGACAACAGCATCTCAGCGTATTACCCAGGCTGGCCTCCAACTCCTGGACTCAAGGGATCCTCCTGCTTCAGCCTCCTGAGTAGCCAAAACTACAGGTGCACTCAACCATGCCTAGCCATTCTGTCATTTTAGATATAGGTAATCCTAAGTACTCTGATGATCCAAGTGGTGGAATGATGGAAAAGGGGCTGTACAAAAATTAATCAACTGAATCATCGTGGAACTAATAATAATCTATTTACCTGTGTTTTAATTAGTGCTAGGCAAAAATAGACCTAGCTCAGCTCTTAGAATTATTCGGATTCACAGTATTGAGAAGTAGCATGAAGAAATGTGAGATTTGTGCCAGAGAGAAAAGACCTGACTTTGAAACCCAACTCTGCCACTTTATTCATTATTGAGTGCTTGCTGTGTGTCAGGTACCATGCTGGGTGCTGGGAATACAAAGATGAATAAGACACAGTTTCTGCTCTGAAGGACACTATACTATCATGAGAACAAAGGTGAATATACAGTTGATCACGCAAGCATGAGATGATATCAACAGGGGAGTACATAAGAAGGGTACTTAACATGACCACACATAGAATCTCTAACCACACAAGCTGAATCTTCAGATGAGTTCTGAAGGGTACGTAGAAGTAAGCCAGACAAATGGGCAGGTTACAGGGAAAGATATTCCAGGCAAAGAAAGTGCTGTGTGTGAAGATCTTAGGGAAAAAGCTGTGCCCAGAGAGTTGAGGGTGAAGAACAGTGCCTGGCAAGTAGGTTCTAAATAAATACCTTGTATAAATGAATGGCAGAAGTCCTGAAGAGAAATCCAGAAAGATTAGCATGGTCGAGTATGTCTTCTTAAGAAGTTTGAAGTTATTCTAAGGCCAATGGAGAACCACTGATGAATTTTAAGGGGCATAGTAAAGTGATCAGATGTTGATTTTAGAAGATCTTTTGGCTGGGTGCAGTGGCTCACTACTGTAATCCCAGCACTTTGGGAGGTTGAGGTGGACAGATTGCATGAGCTTAAGAGTTCGAGACCAGCCTGGGCAACATGGTGAAACTCCGTCTCTACAAAAATCCAGAAAAAAAAAAAAAAAATTAGCCAGGCCTGGTGGCCCACACCTATAGTCCCAGTGCCTCAGGAGGATCACTTGAACTGGAGAAGCAGAGGTTGCAATGAGCAGGGATCATGCCACTGCACTCTGGCCTGGGGAAACTTACAATCATGGTGGAAAGTGAAGGAGAAGCAGACGCCTTCACAACGAGGCAGGAGAGAGAGAGCGTGCAGGGGAGGCTGCCACTTTTAAAACCATCGGATCTCATGAGAACTCCCTCACTATCATGAGGACAGCATGTGGGGAACTGCCCCCATGATCCAGTCACCTCCCACCAGGTCCCTCCCTGAGACATGGCGATTACAGTTTGATATGGGACACAGAGCCAAACCATGTCACATTATAAGAAAGAAATAATGATGGATGTCTAAACTAAGGTAGCAAGAATGGAAATTGAGAGCGGAGGGATTGAAAGGCTTCAAGAGATATGAAGGACATAGAACCAACAGAATTTGATTATTGATGGTATCCTTCATCAGTGGTATCCTCCCATTTGCCTAAACTCCCCTCCCATCATATCCTGCAGTTATAGCCTGAGGTCCAAGATAGGGACCTCAGGAGGAAAAGCAGGTTGTGGAGTGAAGGTAATTAGTTTAGTTTTCAACATGTTGAGTTGAAGTGTCCGTGGGATGTCAAAGTGAAGCTATCTACTATATAATTGAGCAGGGAAGCCTAGAACTCAGGAGAGAGAGATCTATGCTAGAGTCGTCAGAATAAGGGATAGTTCATGGACGTAGATGAAATTGCTGAGAGAAGGGATAGAGAAAGGAAAGAAGAGGATCTACTTTGGAACCTTTACAAGTGAGGAAAGAAAACATACAGGGGAAACATATCCCATGAGGTAGAAGGAACAGAACAAATAGTTTCAGAGGAGACGTGGGAGGACACATCAGCAGTATTAAATGCCAGAGAGAGGTCAAGAAAAAGTGGCTGGATGCAGTGGTTCATGCCTGTAATCCCAGCACTTTGAGAAGCTGTGGTAGGCAGATCACCCGAGGGTAGGAGTTCGAGACCAGCCTGACCAACATGGCAAAACCCTGTCTCTGCTAAAAATATAAAAATGAGCCAGGCGTGGTGGTGTGCGCACCTGTAGTCCCAGATACTCAAGAGGCTGAAGCACAAAAATCACTTAAACCCAGGAAGCAGAGGTCGTGGTGAGCTGAAACTGTGCAAATGTACCCTAGCTCGGACGACAGAGCAAGACTCTGTCTCAAGAAAAAAAAAAAAAAAAAAAAAAAAAGAAGAAGAAGGGCCAGACATGGTGGCTCATGCCTATAATCCCATGTAATCCTAGCACTTTGAGAGGCTGAGGCAGGCAGATCACGAGGTCAGGAGTTTGAGACCAGCCTGGCTAACATGGTGAAACCCTGTCTCTACTAAAGATACAAAAAATTAGCTAGGTTTGGTGACTGATGCCTGTAATCCCAGCTACTCGAGAGGCTAAGGCAGGAGAATCACTTGAAGGTTGCAGTGAGCCAAGATGACACCATTGCACTCCAGCCTGGGCATCA